TTTTTTATCTACAGTCCACAGTCCCTCGTCTTGTTGATTATGCCAACGTCAAATTATAGAGTAGGAACGCTAGAAAATCGAGGACACGGAGAGGGGCAGAACTATAAGTGCATGATCAATATTCAGGTAATTTAGATGTTTCGTGGAGTTACCATAATGTTTGCATCGATTCCAACCCATCCCCACCCCGGGGGGGGGGGCACTCAATATTGGTACCGCACTCATTTGAGCAAGGCACACCTTCACCCCGGGGGGCCACTCTATATTTGTATTGTTCTCCTGTGAGCCCAAGGAACCTCCCCCCCACCCCCCCCCCCCCCCCCAATATTTGTATTGTTCTCCCGTGAGCCCAAGGAACCCCCCCCCCCCCCCCCCCCACCAACCCGAGCTTTGAGTTGAACCCCTACGCGTATGAAGCCAATCACAGTTCCACTATTACATCTTCAGATCGATCCTATCCCAAATGCATCCCGGAGAACACTCGGTCCCCGTTAGCACGATTTCGGCTGTATTCGACTACAGCAAACGATGAGTACTTCCATCAGAGAGGAATTCAGGCTCAGGAAATTCGGCCTGGGTTATTGTGACCCAGACACTTTCGTCAAAACCCAGGTAAGCTCTCCATGCTGTGCGTCTTTAGTATTTTTAGTTTTGGTATACATCGTGTGATGCAGACGTGTGATGTGCTCTTCAAGATCATTTAGGAAACAGCAACAGCATTTCCAGGAACCATGTTCCTCGCGTTGTAACAACGTCTCTGTTTATACTTACGATATTTATATGGGTTTACATGATTCAACATTTCATTACTTCACATGCATCAATTTGTCCAATCTGATCGCTTCAAACTCAACCTGTGCATTCTTGCTGCCATCTCTTCAAACTCAACCTGTGCATTCTTGCTGCCATCTCTTCAAACTCAACCTGTGCATTCTTGCTGCCATATCTTCAAACTCAACCTGTGCATTCTTGCTGCCATCTCTTCAAACTCAACCTGAGCATTCTTGCTGCCATATCTTCAAACTCAACCTGTGCATTCTTGCTGCCATATCTTCAAACTCAACCTGTGCATTCTTGCTGCCATATCTTCAAACTCAACCTGTGCATTCTTGCTGCCATCACTTTAAACTAAACCTGTGCATTCTTGTTGCCATCACTTCAAACTCAACCTGTGCATTCTTGTTGCCATCACTTCAAACTCAACCTGTGCATTCTTGTTGCCATCACTTCAAACTCAACCTGTGCATTCTTGTTGCCATCTCTTCAAACTCAACCTGTGCATTCTTGCTGTCATCACTTTAAACTCAACCTGTGCATTCTTGCTGACATCACTTTAAACTCAACCTGTGCATTCTTGCTGCCATCACTACAAACTCAACCTGTTCATTCCTGCTGCCATCACTTCAAACTCAACCTGTGCATTCTTGTTGCCATCACTTCAAACTCAACCTGTGCATTCTTGCTGCCATCACTTTAAACTCAACCTGTGCATTCTTGCTGACATCACTTTAAACTCAACCTGTGCATTCTTGCTGCCATCACTTCAAACTAAACCCGTGCATTCTTGTTGCCATCACTTTAAACTCAACCTGTGCATTCTTGCTGCCATCACTTCAAACTCAACCTGTGCATTTTTGTTGCCTGTTTAAAAGATGTCAAAGGATAAATTAAAAGAAAATGTTTCCCCAGTGTCGCCTGCCGGCTTGTGTCTACTTTCTATGGCGCCTGTTCTGGTTCGTCTGGCACGTGGCGTGGATCATTGGCAGCGGCATTAACTCTAGGCTAAACAAGGCGCGCGACCCGGACGAGGGCCCCAAATGGTTCATCTATCTGACCAACACCACGCTCCTGCTGACCACCCTGACGTGCACCGTTGATTTCTTGATCATCCTGTACCTGACTGTCAGACGGACCGCTTCTGTTATAGGTAAAGGGTACCGGTTAAGTGTTGACAGTTAGGTTGGCTTTGAGGATTAGCAGCTTCTTACATAAGTTTACAAAAACAAAAAAAACGAAAACAATTCCTTCCTCACAAATTTCTTCGTTATAATTTCAGACAACCCGACCTCCGATCTCGCCCCTAGGCCAGTCAAAAATGACGAGATCATCTTCAGGGGGGAGATGATGTTGATGGACGGACTTAAAGAATGTAAGTGATGTCTGGACCTTGTGTTCTAGACTTGTGTATACTAACACGCAAGAGACTAAAATAGCGTGTGTCCTACGTGCGGGAAAGCCTTCCAGGCACACTTAGGCACTGTATGCCTAGCTGTGTGCCTAGCTGTGTGTCTAGCAGTATGCCTACCTGTATGTCTAGCAGTATGCCTAACTGTATACCTAGCTGTGTGTCAAGCTGTACGTCTTACTGTTTGTGTAGCTATGTGTCTAGCTGTATAGCTCGTGTTGTGGCTGACACTCAAATGTAAATAATACAGTAGTCAGAGGCATATATGTATAAAATAGATACATTGAACTGGCACCATGAACATTTCTTACTTGCCAAGTGTTCTGAGACCATAAGGCATTGCCCAGTGCCTCTTTCTCACTGTTATCGTAGCGGAGAGCAGAATCTTGCATCTTATTACTTTAAATATGACAGACTAATTGCCCTACATTATGGTCGAAAAGAATTGTTTACATAAAGACACCCAAGAAGCTACATGTCATGCGGAGATAGGATGGACATTTGGTGTAACAATAATAATATGTTTTTTTTAGTTCAAACGTTTTTTTAAAAAAATTTTACGAGCTGACTTTAAACTTGACCTTTCTTACAGTCACGACGCCTTGGTACTTAAAGTTGTCCTGGTTCCTGTACAACGTCGTAGGCAGCACCAACATCCTGGTGACCATCATGTACTGGACGGTGGAGTTCAACGGTAGGAATAGAACGGGGAGATAATCCATGTTTCATTTCAACTCGTTTGTTGCCAACGCGGTGGCTCGCCCCAAGCGGTGGTTAATTCCAAGCGGTGGCTCGCTCTCTGTGGTGGCTTGCCCCAAGCGGTGGTTCGCTCCATGTGGTGGCTCGTCCCAAGCGGTGGCTCGTCCCAAGCGGTGGCTCGTCCCAAGCGGTGGCTCGTCCCAAGCGGTGGTTCGCCCTTCGCCCTATATGTATATATATATATATATATATATATATATATATATATATATTTATTTATTTATATATATGTATATACAAAGCATCGGTGAATTTTTTTCGGTCACATGTTGGAGTAAGTCGTTTAAGAGAGGGTCGCAAAACGGATGATTTACTGTATTGAATTTGACTAAAGATATGTTGAGAACCAAGAAGTTACCCGAAGGGCCTCAAGATGAAAATTCGACGAACCAAAAAGCGCACCCACTACTATGGTGTGTTTTTAGTTATTCATAATTTATTTTTTATTAAATCCGTTAAAGCCACGGAGATGTATATAACAATTGAAACAAATTAATCTGACCTTATTTTTGTGTCGGTCCACAGGGTCCACTGACGTGGTCGTTGTGGTGGTCCACACCATCAACACGGTATTCATCATCAGCAACCTCCTGCTGACGGCCATGCCGTGGCAGATCCTTCACTTCATCTACCCCGTGCTGTACGCCGCCCTCTATTTCCTCTTCACCTACATCTACTACGCCGCCGGAGGCACGGACTTCAAAGGACGGCCCTACATTTACAGCACCGTGGATTGGAGCAAGGCGTACCCCACGGCAGTGTACGTGTCCCTGGGGGTGCTGGTAGCGGTGCCCATAGTTCACATTGTTTTATTTGCCGTTTACACTTTTAGAATATTCTTGTTTTCCAAATTGAACTCTGCGACATACTCGACGCAAGTGACGGGCGCATCTAGCAGCGCTCACCACCAAACCCGAGTTGACGGAGCACGAAGCAGTTTTCATCATGAAACGGAAATGACGTCACGAAGTCGCAGTGACCAGGATGAAGAGTTGATGACGTCACCAATACATTAAAAAATGAAAAAAAAAAAAAAAAGAACTATTCTTGATATTGCCGTTAAAACTACATGGAACACGAGGCGTTTCTCTGCTCGTCCAATGATAACAAAGTTCTGATTGGTTTTTCTCTGTGCAGGAGTCTGTGGGACTGCTGGCGTCAGAAGTCTGTGGGACGGCTGGCGTCAGAAGTCCGTGGGACGGCTGGCGTCAGAAGTCTGTGGGACGGCTGGCATTCTTTGATAAACGATGTAGCCTCAAAGAGTCTCAAAGAACACGAATACCCACTCAGGCGCAAGACACGGTCACATGTCACTGACACGGGATACCGGCACCCGAGTCTGTCACATAACACTGGCACCGTGTCGTGTAACCGGAAGAAAAAACAACCATTACGGTTCTATTATTGCGTCATTGGGGACTGGTGATCGCCACAGTGCAAATAAACAAACCAACCCTATCACCCAATCATTTCATGACCTTCAACTTTACCTTGACCGGAAATACTCTGGTTCGTTTCGGGTGATTTTTGTTCACGTTAACTGGATTAGGTGATTTTTGTGCACATGAATGGATTAGGTGATTTGTGTGCACGTGAATGGATTAGGTGATTTGTGTGCACGTGAATGGATTAGGTGATTTGTGTGCACGTTAACTGGATTAGGTTGTCTTTTGTTGAAAGGAGAACACTCACTTCTAGCTGGCATATTGATGTAGGTATGTCTGAGGAACAAACATTCACTTCTAGCTGGCATATTGATGTAGGTATGTCTGAGGAACAAACACTCACTTCTAGCTGACACAGTGAGGTATGTGTGTATTGATTGAAGGGAGAACTGGGGCAAGTGATCTTGTGATTAAGGTGTAAAAGCATAATAACTTAGGTATATGTTTAAGGAAGTTATGTATGGTATACATTGTGATGTATGCAGTTAGCAGTAAAAAAATTATTATAATAAATATGCTAGACAAAACTATGCAAGATTACATACAACGTATCTCGGAACATTTATTTAGAGTATTCGATTTCATGTGATGCAATATATACTTTTATTTCAATGAATGTAAAACATATGTTCATTTCATGTGATTTAGATCATAATATGTTGTTTTTTCATTTGAAGTACAATATATTTCAGTGCAAAATAAATAAAATGACAACATCAAAACCTTGGTCTTAAATTTTGCATTTTTTAATATAATACAATAATCATAACATCATTGGCTGACAATCTGGGGGAGGAGGTAAAACTAAACGAAAAAAAAACAACAGCCACCGAAGTCAGAAGTCAGCTAATGACACCATTTTTTTCAGGGTTTCTGTTCCTTTTTTCACCCCTTTTCTAACTTATCATTGTATTTTGTATTTTTAATCTTTAAAAAAATACATTTTTAACTTGAGAACTTGGCATACGAATGATCTCAGGGTGTCAACATATACATACAGAATTTAAATATCTTCTTACAATGAGAAAATCATAAAATTATAAAATCTTTCAATAAAAACATCCCAACGTCATCATATTATAAGATCCCAACATCCTTACATGAGAACATGACAAGATCTGACTAAAAGAACATCAAAGCATCTTACAATCACCAGGGTCCATTGTGTAATATTAAGAGAGAGAGTGAGATGTGCTATAGCAAGAGAGCGTAAGACGGGTAATGAGAGAGAGTGAGATGTGCTATAACAAGAGAGCGTAAGACGGGTAATGAGAGAGAGTGAGATGTGCTATAGCAAGAGAGCTTAAGACGGGTAATGAGAGAGAGTGAGATGTGCTATAGCAAGAGAGCTTAAGACGTTTAATGTGAAGAACAGTGGAGGTGGGCCATCCAAACATACCATCCAATAAGTTTCTACCGTCCAATAATAGTGTCGACATTAGGCAAACAGAAAGGGGGCAGCGACTGACTCAAGTGACTGACCATGACATTGGCCGTGTAGTTGTCGCACTTCCGGACCATCTCCACCTGACAGTCTTGAGCTATTCGGAAACTCTGGCACAGTTCGTCCTTCCAGTTCACAGTGGTGTTCCCCAGCTGGCTAGTTCTGGTGGTGATGCAGTACGTCAACTCCGGGTAGTGGTGGTCAGCTTCGGCCACGCAGGAAAGGTTGTACCTGGGATCATCACACACGGCCCATAACTGGTTCACGGTCTCCAGGGTCGGGGCGCTTTCCAACATGGAGCACCGGTCGTATTCGGTCCTGATGCAGGAGACCGACTTGCTGATGTTTTGTCTGTTGGCGCACATGGATTTGTAGTAGTTGGCGTCCGTGGTGATGGCGAGGTTGTTGGAGACGTTTTGAATGAACTGGTCGTAAGGGAGGCCATTGTCGGTGTAGCACTTCGTGACCGCTGCTTGCATTTTGTCTGGCTCACATCCGGGGAAAACAATGGCTGTTTGGATCAACACGATGTTCAGAAAAACTCCTATTGAGTTAGTGATAAATAAAGTATGGTCAGAGGTGAAAATACAACAATCACCCACCTACAAATACCACCTTTTTTTAGTTTGTGATATGTTTGCGTTTTTTTGTCGTGGTAGGGTTTCCGTTACTCCATATTTCTCTAGGCTCCTGATCGAACAGAGAGCTGATATTTTGTACGAAGCTTAGTGAAGGAGACTCTCAGAATATCTTTGAGATATGGAACAAAACAAGCCTTTCCCCGGGTCTCATCCCATGTCAACGGAGTTGAACACAGAGTCGCAGCAGATGTATCCATCACGGCTCTAATTTCTTACATCGACACACGGTTGAGAGTGAAGAATGAAAAGAAATTAATTCAGATTTTTGACACCATAACATCGAATGGAATCAATCACGAACTCTCTTTCTCGTGGTTCTACATTTCTCCCCATTCCTATTCTCTTTTCTTTTTAGCTTAATGTAAATATTAATTTTAAATTAATAACGCTTAAATTCATTTAGCTTGACAGTAATCATGCGCAGTTATGTGAGAGAGACTTTTTGGTGTTGTTTGGGTCCGTTTTAAAGTGCGCCTTTGTTTCTACAGAGAGACTGAGAGGGCTGCATTGTGATCTGGGAACACTTAAGTGAGAGGGCTACATTGTGATCTGGGAACACTTAATATATATATATATATATGTAAGAATGAGCTAGAGTCACATAACGCCAAAAGGGAGATATGATTTAAGTATGTTCGGATTCCTAAAAACAATCATAGTTATTTTCTATTATTTTACGGAAATCGAATAAATTTAAATGCGCAAAAAATATTATAAATCCGATTTTATTTTAGTAAAAGTTTAAGTATTATTATTACAAATTACAAATACATTTAAAGTAACAACTAAGGAACTATTTTAAGCATTTTATATGTGTTTGCAAGATATGAAAAAAAAAATCATGATCAAAGAATTACACCGCAATCACATTTATCGGGAAAACCCAAGCATCAGTAGTTTTTAGTGCGTCTTTTTGTGCGTTGTTAATATTGCGAATTAAAATTAATTTATTCTAAATAATCACGCAAATGACGTCAAAGCGCTAAATAGCATATTTCGCCAAAACTCTTAGGTTTCTTTAATTTTAATAACACCGGTTGACAAAACTGATTATGTATTTTCCCTTCTTAAAAGAAAAAATAATAAATACAATTGATTGTTTTTTAAAATTGTTAATAAAACACACATACATTTTTGCTTTGCGTATTTTACATTTAAAAAGTTTTGCCTGTTTTGATTCCAAAAATATACTTTTATTAAAGTTGTAACGTAATAAAAACTAACCTTTTAATATAATCCTAATAGGAAAATGCGGTTTAAGTCAATCCGTGCAGCGCAACTCCATAGCTAAAAGCATTCACAAATCCACTTATACCTCATACAAATAAGAATGAACCATATGAAGTGCTAAAGATGTTAGTTTGGGTACAATCCAGTGGAAGATTTTCTAAATTGATTTAAATCTGGGTGGGGGAGGGCTTGGTCACTTTGCCCCAGGCAGCACAAGATACGTCTCAATATAAAGGAATGATTTTGATAAATAATTAACCTTCTTGGGTAAATACATGTCGGAGGAAGAAAATAGGATGTGTACATTTTTACGTGGATGACAATATATTTAAATCCTGTGGTATCACATTTGTGAAAAAAAGAGATGCTACATTCTCTTTTTACAAATATTGGTATGTTCATTTTGCCCAAGGCAATACAAGATGCTTCCCAAAATAAAGGAATTCATTTGATGAATAATTAACCTTCTTGGGTTCATACATATCGGAGATAGGAAAAAGGATCTGTACATTTTTACGTGGATGCCAAAATATGTAAAGCCTATGGTATTTCATTTGTGAAAAAAGAGATGTTAAATCCTCTTTAAAAAAAAAAAAAAAAAAAAAAAAAAAAAAAAAAAAAATATAAAAAACTCTTAAAAAAAAAAAAAAAAAAAAAAAAACAATTAAGAAAATCAATGGCGTTAACAAATCTTAGGTACATTTATATAAGTATATCCACGAATATCGAAACCCCATCATTTTATACACTTGAAAATTAAATTTTGACAAATGAAAATGGGTTAATATTTTCTTTTAAAAAAAAAAAAAAGAAAATATATTTTTGTTGTTACATCGCCAAACGTAAAGAAGTGTGTATTTTTTATCAGATCAACAATTTAATTATTTTAAAAGACAGTCAAATCTGAAATAGGCGTGAAAAACAGTTGCGAGATTCTTCTTAGATAAAAGAATCCTTTGTTTTACGATTTTCTGATAATGTGTAATTTAAAAAAAGGCAAACATGTGTTTAAATTTTTGATGAAGATATTAGTATATCGAATTCCTGTAATACAAAATATATTTATATCATATATGGAATTCATGTTGTAAATTTAAGATTAGGTTTTTAACAAATTTTGAGAGAAAAAATGTTGTAATTCAAGGTCGCGAAAGGGGTTAATCTGAAGTATTTCTCTAGCGTAGTAATAATCCCTCAATTAACTTCTTTAGTGACAAAAGTGATATAATTAGTGAAAATTTAGACTGGGTAATTTAAGGTCATGTTTAGAGGGGGGAAAGTAGTTTAGGAGCATGACAGGGTGTAGGGTACGCGAATCATATATAGCAGATAAAAACTTGATGATGTTAGAAACGTAAATATCAGTACATTTTAAAAGTTATGAATTGGGATGAGTTTTTGCAATAGCAGTTAGAAATTATCGCAAAGGACTGACCATTATTATCCCGATAACATCGGGTCATTTATTCTAGTAATAAAATAGTATAACAAGGCATGTGTGGAAGTCGAATCAAAAGATGGCACAATATGATGTGAAAATTTCGGCTAAGAGCCTTCCACAGCAAAAAGGACAAATGAAAATACGACAAGAAACAAAACTATTAAATGATATACTGCTAATCAAATTCTAAAAAGAGCAATTAACAGCAAGCTTGGGAGAAGCACACACAAGTAGTAGCAGTCAAGTGTCAGGGAATAAAAGATAACTGCTTCATTTATTATCAAGTGACATACACGTGGTTTCTTTTTGATCAAATGATTTCCCTTACATTTCATGACATGAAATCGGTCGGAAAAAGACGCTACTATTTTACACAAAAGATTTTGAAAGATACTTTATATACTACCTTTTATACCATGTACACTACATTTTATACTATACATACTACATTGTGTACCTTAAATACTTCATTTTATATGCTACATACTACATTTCAACTATGTATACTACAATTTATACTATACGCACTACATTTTAAACTGTATTATATACTACATTGTATACTATGTACACTACAATTTATACTATACATACTACATTTTATAGCATACATACTACATTTTGTACTATACTTACTACATTTTATACAATAATTAATAAATTTATGCTATACATGCTACATTTTGACCTGTATTATATACTACATTTTATACTATTATACTACATTTTATACTATGTATGCTAGATTTTATACTATACATACTACATTTTGTACTATACATACTACATTTTATACAATAATTAATACATTTATACTATACATGCTTCATTTTATACTCTACCTACTACATTTTACACTACTTACCTAAAATGATTACAAGTAAAATAAATAAATGTTTTAGTTAACTTACCAAGAAAAAGCACTTGATAGTGTAACATTGTTACAGCCTTTTGGTCCACTATACGTATACAAGATACTGTGATGTATTTGGCGTACTCTTCTCGTCTATGTTTCACTCGCTGTTATGAACTATGTCACGTGAACATTGAAAGATAAGGACAACGCCAGGTGGTCACCTGTATCTGAGGAACATTGGAATACTAAGCGACTCAAAACACACGGGGTAATGAAAGATTTGGTGTTATAATTTCTTTTTATAAAACTCACAGAATAGGGGAAAACATGAAAGAAGATGAAACAAACCGACGAACGTGTCGACAAAAGCCTTCTTCAGCGATCAGAAAACAGTACCAAAGAAACCCTAAGACAATATAAATAGGAAAATGGACTTATCTAGAGATGATAAAGTTACTAGTTTTTCTCTGGGACTTCACACAGCATACTATACGATCTTTTTAATCTGTATGAGCTGAATTTAATACCTTTTATCACCTTCAGTAAATGTGCTGCCTACTTTAGTCACATTCTGTATATGTGCTGCCTACTTTAGTCACATTCCGTATGAGCTGTCTACTTTAGTCACATTCTGTATATGAGCTGTCTACTTTAGTCACATTCTGTATATGTGCTGTCTACTTTAGTCACATTCTGTATATGTGCTGTCTACTTTAGTCACATTCTGTATATGTGCTGTCTACTTTAGTCACATTCTGTATGTGCTGCCTACTTTAGTCACATTCTGTATATGTGCTGTCTACTTTAGTCACATTCCGTATGAGCTGTCTACTTTAGTCACATTCTGTATATGTGCTGTCTACTTTAGTCACATTCCGTATATGTGCTGTCTATTTTAGTCACATTCAGTATGAGCTGTCTACTTTAGTCACATTCAGTATATGTGCTGTCTATTTTAGTCACATTCAGTATGAGCTGTCTACTTTAGTCACATTCCGTATGAGCTGTCTACTTTAGTCACATTCTGTATATGTGCTGCCTACTTTAGTCACATTCCGTATATGTGCTGCCTACTTTAGTCACATTCTGTATATGTGCTGCCTACTTTAGTCACATTCCGTATATGTGCTGCCTACTTTAGTCACATTCTGTGTATGTGCTGTCTACTCTAGTCACATTCAGTATGAGCTGTCTACTTTAGTCACATTCTGTGTATTTGCTGCCTACTTTAGTCACATTCAGTATGAGCTGTCTACTTTAGTCACATTCAGTATATGTGCTGTCTATTTTAGTCACATTCAGTATGAGCTGTCTACTTTAGTCACATTCAGTATATGTGCTGCCTACTTTAGTCACATTCAGTATATGAGCTGCCTACTTTAGTCACATTCAGTATATGAGCTGCCTACTTTAGTCACATTCAGTGTATGAGCTGCCTACTTTAGTCACCTTCAGTATATGAGCTGCCTACTTTAGTCACATTCAGTATATGAGCTGCCTACTTTAGTCACATTCAGTGTATGAGCTGTCTACTTTAGTCACATTCAGTATATGAGCTGCCTACTTTAGTCACATTCCGTATATGAGCTGCCTACTTTAGTCACATTCAGTGTATGAGCTGTCTACTTTAGTCACATTCAGTATATAAGCTGCCTACTTTAGTCACATTCAGTGTATGAGCTGTCTACTTTAGTCACATTCAGTATATGAGCTGCCTACTTTAGTCACATTCAGTGTATGAGCTGCCTACTTTAGTCACATTCCGTATATGAGCTGCCTACTTTAGTCACATTCAGTGTATGAGCTGTCTACTTTAGTCACATTCAGTATATGAGCTGCCTACTTTAGTCACATTCAGTGTATGAGCTGTCTACTTTAGTCACATTCAGTATATGAGCTGCCTACTTTAGTCACATTCAGTATATGAGCTGCCTACTTTAGTCACATTCAGTATGAGCTGTCTACTTTAGTCACATTCTGTGTATTTGCTGCCTACTTTAGTCACATTCAGTATGAGCTGTCTACTTTAGTCACATTCAGTATATGTGCTGTCTATTTTAGTCACATTCAGTATGAGCTGTCTACTTTAGTCACATTCAGTATATGTGCTGCCTACTGTAGTCACATTCTGTATATGAGCTGTCTACTTTAGTCACATTCAGTATATGTGTTGCCTACTTTAGTCACATTCAGTATATGTGCTGTCTACTCTTGTCACATTCAGTATATGTGCTGCCTACTCTAGTCACATTCAGTATATGTGCTGTCTACTCTAGTCACATTCAGTATATGTGCTGCCTACTCTAGTCCCATTCAGTATATGAGCTGCCTACTTTAGTCACATTCAGTGTATGAGCTGCCTACTTTAGTCACCTTCAGTATATGAGCTGCCTACTTTAGTCACATTCAGTATATGAGCTGCCTACTTTAGTCACATTCAGTATATGTGCTGCCTACTTTAGTCACATTCTGTATATGTGCTGCCTACTTTAGTCACATTCCGTATATGTGCTGCCTACTTTAGTCACATTCTGTGTATGTGCTGTCTACTCTAGTCACATTCAGTATGAGCTGTCTACTTTAGTCACATTCTGTGTATTTGCTGCCTACTTTAGTCACATTCAGTATGAGCTGTCTACTTTAGTCACATTCAGTATATGTGCTGTCTATTTTAGTCACATTCAGTATGAGCTGTCTACTTTAGTCACATTCAGTATATGTGCTGCCTACTTTAGTCACATTCAGTATATGTGCTGCCTACTGTAGTCACATTCAGTATATGAGCTGTCTACTCTTGTCACATTCAGTATATGTGTTGCCTACTTTAGTCACATTCAGTATATGTGCTGTCTACTCTTGTCACATTCAGTATATGTGCTGCCTACTCTAGTCACATTCAGTATATGTGCTGTCTACTCTAGTCACATTCAGTATATGTGCTGCCTACTCTAGTCCCATTCAGTATATGAGCTGCCTACTTTAGTCACATTCTGTGTATGTGCTGTCTACTTTAGTCACATTCAGTATATGAGCTGCCTACTTTAGTCACATTCAGTGTATGAGCTGCCTACTTTAGTCACCTTCAGTATATGAGCTGCCTACTTTAGTCACATTCAGTATATGAGCTGCCTACTTTAGTCACATTCAGTGTATGAGCTGTCTACTTTAGTCACATTCAGTATATGAGCTGCCTACTTTAGTCACATTCCGTATATGAGCTGCCTACTTTAGTCACATTCAGTGTATGAGCTGTCTACTTTAGTCACATTCAGTATATAAGCTGCCTACTTTAGTCACATTCAGTGTATGAGCTGTCTACTTTAGTCACATTCAGTATATGAGCTGCCTACTTTAGTCACATTCAGTGTATGAGCTGCCTACTTTAGTCACATTCCGTATATGAGCTGCCTACTTTAGTCACATTCAGTGTATGAGCTGTCTACTTTAGTCACATTCAGTATATGAGCTGCCTACTTTAGTCACATTCAGTGTATGAGCTGTCTACTTTAGTCACATTCAGTATATGAGCTGCCTACTTTAGTCACATTCAGTATATGAGCTGCCTACTTTAGTCACATTCAGTATATGAGCTGCCTACTTTAGTCACATTCAGTGTATGAGCTGTCTACTTTAGTCACATTCAGTATATGAGCTGCCTACTTTAGTCACATTCAGTATATGAGCTGCCTACTTTAGTCACATTCAGTATATGAGCTGCCTACTTTAGTCACATTCAGTGTATGAGCTGTCTACTTTAGTCACATTCAGTATATAAGCTGCCTACTTTAGTCACTTTCAGCATATGTGCTGCATTCTTTAGTCACATTCAGTGTATGAGCTGCCTACTTTAGTCACATTCAGTATATGAGCTGCCTACTTTAGTCACATTCAGTATATGAGCTGCCTACTTTAGTCACATTCAGTATATGAGCTGTCTACTTTAGTCACATTCAGTATATAAGCTGCCTACTTTAGTCACTTTCAGCATATGTGCTGCATTCTTTAGTCACATTCAGTATATGAGCTGTCTACTTTAGTCACATTCAGTATATGAGCTGCCTACTTTAGTCACATTCGGTATATGTGCTGCATACTTTAGTCACATTTAGCAGACGGATTTAACAATGCATTATGTAGGCATTTCTTCTTCTTCTATATCTTAAGGGCCCACGATCAATTTATTGATCATTTTGGCTCCTATTAAAATTAATTTTAAAAAATTGACCCCTTCCCCCATCTTTTAGAATTTCCCTTTCTTAAATACAGTTATCGTTCTTCTTCACCTCTGGAATTTTTCAGATTTTGTTAACTGCATCCAGTCAGCTGACTTATATTATCCACTGCCCTCAAAACTAAAAATCGTGTAAGGTTTGAACAGTAAGTGCTGGTGGCTGATTAGAAAATTATGTGAAAGAAAAAAAAATATCTCATTTTAAAACCATGGACGTTGATAGGAATTCTGTGACTAGGTTATTAAAGAAGACACACACACTTTTTTTCAGCACAATCTCTCCGTGGATCGTGAGGCGACAACAATGGCTTGTACAAAATGGTGCATTGGGGTCCTTGTCTTGATGTGTGCACTCGCCGAGTGCCGCTTCAACAAGAAGAAGTTCAGTAAAACTGCCCGAAGTCTTGAGGACCAAAAAGATCACAGGAGACAAGGTAATTCTCTACCTGGAATTACTGTCTTGTTAAAAAAAAAAATAATATATAAAGATATATATATATATATATATATATATATATATATATATATTTAAAAAAGAGAACAGGAGACAAAGTAATTCTCTACCTGTAATTACTGTCTTGTTAAAAAAAAAAATAATATATATAGATATATATATATATATATATATATATATATATATTTATTATGTTAGATTCTCACACTAATCGATTGCTATCTAACAATCGTATGATTTATTTGGATTTAAATGTTAGTAGAATACTTAGAAGCACTACTCTTTAAGAACAAGTTTCTCCTGAATACAAGAGATGGGCGCGGTGTATTTCTTGGATCTGTATTAGCCTCCGACTACGAGGATGGAACTGTTTCTGAGAAATGCTTTCAAAGAGGTCAGAGCTTTGTCAAACTGCATGGTATCTGGACCATGATGGGGTAATGGGGATGGTAGAGGGAGCTAGGATTGGATGGGAATAAACGTGTTTTTTTATGGGGATTGGATGGA